CTTTCCCGTTCACCCACCAGCTCAGCTCCACATGGTCGGGGTAGAAGTCTCTGGCCAGGCACACCAGCGTGGCCTTTTGGGTGTGGGAGATCTCTGCTTCTGATGGCTCAAACACAGCAACCTTGGGTGGGAACACCTTTTTCAGGTCCTCTGGAAAGGGAAGAGGGGATAGGGCTAGGGCTGTTCTGAGAGCTATCTGGTCCTGGTAGGGTCTCTGTGTATGTGAGAGAGAGAGGGCTGGGAAAGGACCATAATGAAGCACAATTACGTTACTAAGTCCTCCTTGCTTTGGAGTCACCAGCCTATTCCTCTTTGATGGTTCTACCCCTTCCTTGCCTGTCTTTTGTATCCACCCTATGGGTTGGCACTATCCATTGTCTGTCCATCTCCCAATTAGGCACTGCCTAACATTCTAGGCAATGTCTCTTCATTGCCATTATTTGATTTCCTCTCCATCAGTAACAACTTGCCTACCTACTTCTCACCATTTTATGTGGTAGTTTTTTAACTGGAGCAAGGGATTGGAACCCCAAAAAACAAGATCCAAATCCTAGAACTTCCTTTGTCCACCAACAAGACTTTTAACACAGAAATTCCTATCACTTTTTTCTGCTTGTGAAGTATGAATCACCATTCTGACTTTGCAGAAAGTGTGTGAAGGTTAAATTATGTACGAATTCAAAAAGCCCCCTCCCAAGGAGGTTATTTATATCAAATCTAAGGTGCTAGGAAGGAAGGGGAATCTGGGATGAGGGAGGCATTTTGGAACTAGGGGCTTTCTTTAGATTTACAAATGGCCTATTTTTTGCACTCACATGAGGACAGCCTTTGGTTTTACAGTGTGTTCATGAGAATGTGAGGTTTTTTCTTTTTGTGGTGCATGAAGTCATCTTATCCATTCCTCTGCCTCCAGGTACTCCTGAGTTTTCTCAGCTCAGACAGATAGTATCTTCCCTTATCTCAAAATTAGGGACCCTTCAACCTTCTGTGTCCCTTTGCATCCAAATATTATGTGTATTTTTTTTCTACAAGCAAGTTCCCCAAATAAACATCTGATATGATCAGAGTAATTTCTTGCTACTAGTTGTGTTGATACAGTTTCTGTCCTGAGCATATCCTTTGTAGATTTTTAGGGATGACATGTAAATACATCCCCTTTAATCCCTGAGGATCCTTCTCATTTGGTTGAATTACTACTTTTGGACCTGCCCTCCTACTCATCTTATCTTTTTTTTTTTTCTTTTTCTTCCTATTGATTATTTTTCATTTCTGAGCAACTCTATTAAAGTGAAGAAGTATCAGTCTTAGGAGAACCTATTCCGAATCTCCTGGACAATGGAGAAAATTTATTCTGACATTTCTTCACATTTGTGTGGATGTGACCTCCTTCCTGGGTCCCCATGGGGCCTCCTGCTGGAAGGGCTCTCTGCTTGGTTTAGTGTGCTGCTGTCACCATTTTGAAATCCTAAGTCGTTTTTTAACAAGAGCCCCCGCATTTTCATTTTGAGCTGGTCCTGCAAATTCTGTAGCTGATCCTGCTTCCCATCATGTCAATTTCCCTTCCTCCCCACAACTCCTACCTTGCTAATTACCACTATGCTTCTAAGTCTTTACTAGCTGGGCTGGGGCTAAATGATGATATCCTAACTTCTATCTGCAGCACTTTCTTTCTTTCTGCTCTCAACCTGCTTATTTTCACTCTCATCTCAAAAGCCCTGGCTCTGGGAGTCCACCAGCCCTCCAGAATGCACTCCTTTGATCTCTTCATTTAGCAAACACTCAGCCCCCATTGTAAAAATTAAAAATGTCCCTTGACCATGCATGCTGTTCTGTAGAATAGTTATTGATGCAATAGGCATGGTGAATACTAGCCGCCTCTCACCGCACACCAACACACTATCTGTACATGAGGGCAGGGGCAACTCTCCTGCATTTGTGAGTCCCTGTGGTGTGGGGCTTGTCACTGTGGGTGTAAGTGTGTATACTAGTGAGCTTCTGGTGTAAGTGTGTGGACTAGTGAGCTTCTGGTGTAAGTGTATACTAGTGAGCTTCTGTGTAAGTGTGTGTACTAGCAAGCTGAGGGTGTGTGTGTACTAATGAGCTTCTGGTGTAAGTGTGTACTAGTGAGCTGCTGGTGTGTGTGCACTAGTGAGCTGCTGGTGTAAGTGTGTGTACTAGTGAGCTGCTGGTGTAAGTGTGTGTACTAGTGAGCTGCTGTTGGCCTATGCTCTACTTGTGGGTTGGGTTCACCTTAGGCAAAATTGTGATGTTTGTCTCACATCCAACCCACGTCTAACACAGACACAGCCTGACTCCATTTCCATACTCCAGATCCTGCCCATCCTTTGGCACTGGGCTGACCCTTCCCCCTGCCTCCCCAGTGACCTCCTAGGAGGATGGGGAAAAGAAGCATTGAATTACATCAATAATCTGTGCACTCTACATGTTGATTCTCTTTTCTTCTTCACAGCAATAGTAAGTGGTAGGTATTGTTCATTATATTTTATAGTTGAGGAAACTGAGATACACACATTAATTTGCCCAAGGTCACCACATCACAAAAGAACCAGAGGTTCAAACTCAGCCTTTATCTGGCTCTCAAGTCTGGGTCTTTTCTGCGTCCCAGTTGACTGCAGGAACCCTACATTTCCTCTGGATACACTTCACTGTAGCTGAGCCCCACTATACCCGGCTTAATGATAGCCTAATTACAAATGGTGCGGGTTAATATACCAATATCGTGAGTTCTCTTCTCTGGCCTCAGGGCAGTCATCACCAGGTAATGTTTAGGGTCCCTTTTCAGCTCTCAGGGCCTAAAATCTTTCAGAGAATTTTCCTTGTCTCTCAGGCAAAAATGTCAGCATTTTAAATATGTGTTTGTGGCAAATGAACTCCCTGAACTTCTGGGCTGTTTATCCTAGAATACTTAGTCTGCTAAAGGGAGATTTCAGGATAGGGGAGGGAGCTACATGGAGGCAGGGGTGGTAAGTATACCCCAGTGGCTGAGGTTATGTGCCCTACTCTCAGGTCAGCACCTCTTTGCTGACCAGTCCATGGGCAAGCATGAATGCTATGCCCTCACCCTGGACCCAGGGATCTCTGGCTTAGGAGGAATAGAAACCAGGAACAGGAGTTTTAAGTCGGATTATAGATCTACACTTGTAAAGAGTAAACTTTCATTCTTTACTGACTCATGTTCATCTCTCTTTTTGGTTCTCTGTCCCACTTTTGTTTGGCAGGCTTTTTCTGCTCTGTTCTACTGCACCCTCGGCTGCAGGATTTCTGCCACCTGACATCCACCCGCCTGCCCGCAATGCTGACCCCTGCCCACCCGCACTGTTCCCAGCCCTCTCAGCTCTTTTTGCCTACCAGTAGCAGTTACCCACATTCCTACCCATTCCCCAAACCAGGATTTCCCTTCGTCCTCTCCAGTTTCGCCTCTCCCAGAATCCTAACAAATTCTCTCTTCTCCATCGTTTGCCTTCTCTCTAAACACCCCAGAAAAAAGATTAAAAGCGGCCTCGCCCTCTGCTCAGCTTCCCGGACTCTGAGCACCTCCCCACCTCCTCCCTCTTCCCCAGTGTCTTCCCAGGAGCGGGGAGTGACGCTGCAGAGCTGACCCCGGACACGCAGCTCCTCCCGCTCCGGACACCCAGCTCCTCCAGCCCCGGTCTGCCCTCCGACCCCGGGGATCGAGGGGCTGGGAGGTGGGGAGATGCCCGAATCTCACCTATGACCGTGAGCCTGGTGCCGGGCCCGAAGTACTGCTCGTAGGAGCACGGAGGTGCACCCCGGCACGCAAACCACTAAGGCTCCCTGAGCTCCTGCCCACCTTGGGGACCCAGCCCAGGTCTCCTAGCACAGGGCGGGACCAGGTGCCGCGAAGCAGCCACCTTCTACCCGGACCCCGCCGTCCGGGTGTTCCCGCGGCAACTTACCCAGCACGGTCAGCCGGCTGCCGGCCCCGAAAGTCAGGACGTTGGCCCCAGAGCACAGCCAGGGGACTTCCCACAAAAACCGGACCCAAGCCGCCCGCGCCCGCGCCCCTGCGGCCCGCGCTCACCGAGCACCAGGAGCCGCGTGCCTGGTCCGAAGTACTGGGTCTCTTGGTCACGGCCCCCGAGCCCCACACAAAAACCCGAGCGCCGTCTCTCCCCAGGTCCCCGGGCGGCCCCAGCTTACCCAGCACTGAGAGCCGGGTCCCGGCGCCGAAGTACTGAGTGTTTTGGCTCACAGCCCCGAGATGCAGCACAAAAACTGGCCCTGCTATGCCCCCGGCCTCCCGGAGCGCCCCCTCCCCGGTTCCCGGGCTTCCGCGGGAGCCCCCGCTTACCAAGCACTGTCAGCCGGGTGCCTGGGCCAAAATACTGCGTATCTGTGCTCACAGCCTGGAGGCCCAGGACAAAAACCGGTGCTGCCCGCCCTGCTGTCCCAGACTCAGCTCGGGTCCTTCCCACCGCTGAGACCCCCATCGCCCTCCCAGCACCCAGGACCAGGAGTCCTCGGCCCAGACGCCCAGCAGCGCCTCTCAGCACAGCCCCTCTCGGAGTGGGGCAGCTGCTCAACTCTGCCCATGCCGCCCTCTCGGAGCGCTCCGGAGCCCCAACCGCCTCCTTACCCAGCACGGTCAGCCTAGAGCCTTCTCCAAAGAACAGCTGCGCGGTGTTAGCACAGCCCTGGGGACCCTGGCGCAAACCCCGCTTTCCCCGAGGAGGGCCCTGGATGGCCCAGTGTCCACTCCCCTAAGAACAGGGTTCTGGGGTTGTCCAGGCTGGGCAGCCCTCCCTCTCTCCCACCTGGAGCCCCCTTCTTACCTAGCACGGTGAGCCGTGTGCCTGGCCCAAAGAACTGCTCACCGTAGGAGCACAGTAGGAAGGGGCTGCCCAGAATTCCTTCTCCTTCCCCACCTCCCTTAGCACAGGTAGAGAGCACACCCTCCCTCTCTTTCCTGAGCCTGTCTCTTCCTGTCTCGAATTAGCTGGACACGGTAACTTGGATCTTGCATGAGGTCACCACCAATTTGCAGAGGAGAATCCACTTGGCTTGGGGACAACACAGTGGATTCGAAATCTGAAGGGGCCTTGATGGTACTGGAACGGCTGGAGCTGGTCGATGTTGCAGGCTAGACCTTGCCTCTTCCTAGTTGTATGACCTGTAACCTCTCTGATCTCAGTTTCCTCATCGGAAAAATGGGACGATATCTTTCCCTCAGGGTTTTCATCAGTCTTAATAAATAATGCATGTGCAAGTACTTTGTCAAGAACAAGTTTTATTAAAAGTGCTGAGTGATAATCCCACTTCGCTGTCTTGGCCTTCTTATTCCTAGGAAGCTGAGTGTGGACAGGACGATGGACAGGGGCTCGCTGGGTTGGAGGACCCTGCAAGACAACAGCTGGGAACAGCCCCAGAGACCTCTTCCCACCTGGTAGCTGCATTCCCTGGGCTGGGCGGGGATGTTTTTGGCAGCAGGGTTTTTTGTAAAAGCACCTCCTCTACCTGAATCATTGTGCTCCCCCCAGTCCCCACAATGTTACACCGTGATACAAAAATGTTTCCTCCCTGATAGTCTCCCTCCCCCAACCACTGGGCTGAGGCAGGAAGCGCAGGTGGCAGAGGTTAGTCTGATTGTGTGGGGCTTGGAAAAGACACAGGCAGTAAATTAAAATGGGAGGGGGTTGGGGAAAGCCGCAGTGATGGTAAGGGGGGGGGGGGGGGGGGGAGGGGCCCCTCCTTGGAACATGCACCACCCTGAGCAGACCATCTATGTCACTGGGTCTCCCTGGTGGGGCTCACTGTGCCCACCTGCTCAGACTGGCATTTATAGTGAAGTGGGTGGGAGGAGCGAGGGGTGGCAGGGCAGCTCATAGGAAAATCTGCAGAGCAGTGGATGGCACCATATGACAGGAGGACAAACAATCCAGAAACCTCTGTAATTTCCTTTTATTCCGTTGCTTCCTGAACAAAGTCCGAACTCCAGAGTCTTCATTTACTCCACAAGTGTTTAGTGATCTTCCGCCATGTGCAGGCTCCATGCTGGTTGCATGGAGATAAGTTTGTTCCCAGAGTGGCGTGCACCAACCCTCCTTTCCAGCGCTAATTTTGATTACTCACATTTCTGAACCTTGCAACCAGCTAAATGGGCCTACCCAGAGGCACCTAACCATGTCATTAGGGCTTTTGCTCATGCCTCTGATCAGCATGGCCATTCTCTGGAGTGAACAACTGAGACCAATTCTTCCTTTGAAGAGATTGCCACCTTCTCAGACTCTTTCCTGATTATCCCAGTAAGAAATTGAGGACCGTTCTCTGACTGTATTTTAGTAAGCAGTTCATGTTGCTCTTTCAAAGCATGGACTTGCATGCGGCTCTTTCTGTTCATGATTGAGTCGCTCTGTGAACAGATAAGCTTCTTGGGGACTGTAATTGGGTATCTTAATTTTCTTGGAAGTTGATAACAACACATCACAGGGATATGTGTTTAATGAGTGGATGTGTGTACATGTGTGTAAATACAAACATATATATACACACGTGTGCATACATGCACACATGCATCTTTGAATGCATGTATGTGTTGCAACAAAGAGGGAAGACTGTGTGGTGTAGTCCTATAAATGGAAGGGTAATGGCTATTTCGGGCAAGACTTATGGTGATGATTGCTCCCGGGTTGGGTCATTTTGGGTTCACTCATTTATTCATTTTTTTATTCATACATACCTATGTGGTGTCTACACTAAACTGAGGTTCTATACTATAGCCCTGGGATACTATCATCAAATGCATCCTTGTTAACAAGGAGTTCATAGTCCCTGGGGGTATCAGACAAATAAAGAGGTAGTTTCCAGCAAGTGTGATGTATCACAAAGAAGGTTATGCACAAGGCACTGTGATAGCAAAATAAAGGGTGTATTTAATCCAGTTTCAGGGGAAGAAGAGGTAAGGAAGGGGCAAGAAAGGGCCAGAGAAAGTTTTTTGGAGGGGAAGACATAGAAGCTAAATCTTTAAGTCTAAACAGGAGTTACCATGGGGAGAAGAGTACTTTATCACCCCAGGAGGAAGAGCATGTGCAAAGTGTCTTGAAAGAAGAAGCTCAGGGGCTTCAGGGATGAGAGAAGTGAGGAGAGTGTGGAAGGAGACGGGGATAATCATCAGGTCTTCTGTGCCACCTTTAGGATTTGGGACTCCATCGCCATGGTGACAGTGAGACAATGGAGAGCTTTTGAAGGAATTCTAAAAGTAGGGAGGGGCTGATTCCCAGTTTTAGATAACTTTATTTTCTATCCTTCCGGGAATGATCAGGGGACATTTTCACACTGGTTTAATTCACTAGAGAGAAATTTATAAACAGATTGGTAAGTGAAACTGGAGGGCACATCTTCCATTGAAAATAAGTTTCCAAGTCAGAGCATCTCTTCTTCAGAGCTGGGAAATCAACTTGGTGAACCAATGAGGATATATGGAGTGCTCAGTAAGATAGCTGTGAGGAAGGTGGGTGATGCATATGGAACCCAGCTTTGTTAGTCATGGGGATGTAGCCAGCTGGAGGGTGAACACACCTGTATAGGTTGGCTCTTCCTCAGAACACGTCTTTTCTGGGCAGAACAGTATAGTTGGATATAGAAAATTCCTATACTCAACATCTGTGTCTTCCTAGACTGTTCTAGGAGTAACCTCTTCAGCTCCCATCACTGCCTTTCACATTGAATTAACCTCTGCTATTGATCTCAAGGTGGGCCCCTTACTCTTCTTATGTGGAGAGTCTGCATTTTACTTGAGTACCTCTTGTTTCTATCCTGACTGAATGGGGAGAGTCACAGGGAGTTCAGAGACAGCCAAGGAGCTACCCAGACATTCACAACTCAGAGTCAGGCCAGATCAGAACATTTTTATTGGCTTAGTCACTTAGGAATGCTAAGGTGCCCCTGGGTTAGGGAGATTTCAGCCGTGAGTGTGCAGGCGTGCGTGCACATAGGGGATATCTATTGGGATGTAGAGAGGTGAGAGCAGCTCTTCAGAAGCACTGGCAAAAGAAGAATGTATATTGAAATCACGATGGATTAGAAGCTCCTAATTCCACTTCCAGGGCTGCCTTCAGAAATCCTTCCTCTTGACCTGCAGAAGAGAAAGCTTTGGGGGTTATTAAGAGCCAGGAGTTGTGAGGATTGAGAGGAAGTAGTAGGGTCTGTTGACCTTACAAATAGTAAGGCTCATCACAACATCCATTGAGTTTTCAGGTGACTCCAGCTTCTTCCCAGCATGACCCTTCCACTGTGATCCTACAGAGGTGCAAGCTATCTTCTGAGGCACCTGAATGAAACCTCTTCCCTCCCTACTGCCCAGCTCCAATCCTGGCAGAGACTCTATACTTCTGGGTCTGAGTTGCTTGGTGTCAATGTGTCACCTCCAGCCTGCTAGCCCCATCCTGCCCTACTGCTTACCATGGCCATCAGCACGAGGGCACTGACCAGCACAGCATACAGGGTGGCCTTCCCCAGCAGGATCTCATAGAGGATGGTGGCAGACAGGACCCCTTGCTGGTAGGACACTGTTGGCAGGGAGGAAGGACAGGTGGGTACCTGTGCACAGGTAGCTCTGGTCTCTCCCACCCTCCACCCTCCACCCTCCGGTGTCTGTGAGTTCTTCATGCCTTGGTTCTAGATCAAGAACCATGAGAGAGGGGGAGGAAAAGGAAGGGCTTACTTACCCGAGGTGAAGCCACAGTCTGAAAGAAAGCAGGAAGAGGAAAATAAATGAGAGACCTCATTTTCATAGGCAATGAAAAGTAAAGTCAGATTTGCAGTTGGCACAGACTCCCAGGCCCAGACCAGCTTCCTCTGACAGCCCAGCACCTCCTTTCCTCTGCCGTGTCAATGTCAGCCACAATGTCCTTGCAATCCATGGCATGTGGCAGCACTGAGGGGGCTGGGGGATACCACTCAGATGAGAGATACACAGGTCACATAGAAAGGGGACCCAGTTGCTTGGCTCTGTTGGGCTGAGAATCTGGCAGAATGAACTACAGGTGCCCAGTTCTCCTTCATGGTGCGTGCTGGTTCCTTTCTTTTTGGATCTGGTCTTGTCCTCTACCTGGATCTTTCCATTTTCCCTGGTAGCCGGTCTCACCTAATCTCCTCCAGGCATCTCCCCAGGCCCCACTCACCTGCTCTACCCCAG